TTCAAATTCCTGAACCACCATGCCATAACATCAAGGTTTGATGTGTCAGTGCGTCTATGTGTCCATACCTAAGTCACTTTCCCTTTATCCTAAAATGAAATCTGGGCTGAAATGGGGGCCATGGAGGTACCTGACTCTTAAAGCTTTTAAAAGGGTAAAATCAGTTAATATTAGTAAAGTGCTGAGAAATGTGCCCAGTAATAAAATTCCATAAGTCATAGTGCTATGTTGATAGCATTTTATTGTAATGTATATGTATTAGAATTTATAATAATACTCATATTAGAAAAATTAAGTAAAAGGATAAATATTCAATAAATGAGACAAAGAAATGGAATAGGTTATTTAAGAGGTCTTGGAAACTCTAGCTTTTGCTGAAGATGCTATTTTGTTTCATGGGCTTGGAAATTTTAGTTCTCTCTGTAGAGCACCAAAAAACTAGGTAAGTTCATAAAAATTTATTAGTTCTCCTCTAGGCATGCCACAAGATTGACAATTTTATGAGCTCCTGGTTTTCATATATAGTTGTCTCATGAATAACAGCACTACATTATGGAATGTCTTCATAGTTCACTATGTTGATCTATGTCCAATTTTATGAAACTGACACTTTGTGCAGCCAGCCCTCTGTGCTGTTATAAGTATCCAACTCATTCTGATATAAGACCAGTTAAGAGAACCACTGGTCTAAAATCCAGAATGAATATTTTTGCATTTCATTTTCTTGGTCATTTGATATTTGAATCAATCAATCAATCAATATATGCTGAAAATTCCTTGCATGGAAGGTATAAAACACAGCTTGTCAATGTGTGAAATTCACCCAAAATTTTACTGAACTTGGTTTGCTAATATTTGTTAAGAGATTTCACATCTATGTGTTCTAAGAACATTGGCATGTAGTTTTGTTTTATTGTGTTGGGTGTTTTTGTGTTTGGTGAGTATTGTGTTGGGTGTTTTTGTGTTTGGTGAGAGAAATACTGTACTCTCATAAAAGGTTTATGAAAGTACTTCCTATCCTCTTCAGACTTTGGAGGAATTTGTGAAGAATTGCTATTTCTTAATGGTTTCTAAAACTCTGACAAATCAAGTATGTCCTGGATTTTCTTCAATGAGAGACATTTCCTTATTGATTTACTTTTCTAGAGTGTTATTAGTATGTTCTATTTTCTATTTCTTCATGAATCAATCTTCATGGATTACATGTGTCTAGAATTTCTCTATTTTCTGCAAATTATCTAGGTTATTTTATAATTTTTCATAGTAACCACTTATGAACATTCAAATATCTTATGATCCTTCAAATATGAGTACAATAATACTCAGTATTTTCTCAGTAAATAGAATTGGTTTTTTCCTTTGAGAAATGAGAGCATGTTTAATAAGGAAGTAATATTATCACAAAATCATGTCAAGCTATTTAGATAATTTGAGTAGGAGAATTTTGTAAATACAGAAAATAGGTAGAGGGGATTTTAACATGGCCTTGTAAGGAAAATGTTTTTCAGGAAACATCTCAGTAACTACTTAATCAAGGATGAACATTCAGTACATTTACCTCAAAGTGGGTTTTCCTGTTATATAGAACCCACATTGCCCTAACCTCAGGAGTAGACTGAATCTAGTCTCTGCATATGATCTGTCCCTTGCTAGCCCTTTCTGATTAAACTTCTTTAAATTTTCTTCTTCTCAGACATATCCATAAAAGTTCGTTAACTCTTGCCCTCTTTCTATGGAGACCAATGAACTGGAGCATTGAGATTGAAATAATTTGTGAAATGTTACACAACTGGACCCAATACAGAGTCAGATTTTAAGCACAGATAAAGATGTAATTACATTTCACCATATCTTCTGTGAACAGTGTTCAACTTAAAACATATGAATTGTTCATATCTGTAATTTTCCACATACTCTGGTTAAATGTAGGTAACAAAATTAGAGAGATATAGTACATAAGGAAATAATTTGTTAAATACTGATAATGCTTTAAAAATAACAGGAAAAACCTAAACTCAATTTGAAATATGACTTGATTTGATGTTGTGATAATTATATAAATGTAAACTTTAGGATGGGTGTGGTGTCTCAAGCCTGTATTACAGGCTGCATCACAAATGGAGCTTGGGTAGCTCCCAGTGGGTTCTCAGAGCATCCCCAGGAGAGAAACCTGTGCAAAAAGCAGATCATATTCAATAAAAGCCTGCTGTGGTGACACATACCCATCATCCAAACTATTCAGGAAGATTAAATAGGATGATTGCAGTACAGCCTGAACTGTGCATAAATTCAAGACCCTATCTTAAAAATAACCAAACCAAAAAGAGCTAGGGGCATGGATCAAGTGATAGAAAATTTCAAGGCCCAGAGGTCAAATTCCAGTACCACAAAAAAAGTTAATACAATATGAAATAGTGGTTACTTGAATCTGGAAAAGGCAGGCAAAAGGAAGAGACAAGGCAAGATCAAAGTTACAAATAGATAGGAGGGATAAATTCTGGTATTTCATTGCACTTTAGTATACTGCATATCATAAAGTAGGGATTTGATGATGACTGCATTAAGAAAATGTGACAGATATATGTATATATACATATATAATGGAATATTTTTCAACCACAAGGAAAAATGAAATTTTGTCATTCACAGGTAAATGGATGGAGATGGGAAACATCATCGAAAGTGAAGTAAACCAAGTTCCGAAAGGCTAGGAGCACATGTTTTCTCTCATATGTGGAAGAGAGATCCAAATACTAATATAAGCATTATCATATATTTACATTAGATTTCACAGTATCTACTCTGAGCAGTGTTCAACTTAAAACATATTAATTGCATATATATTTATGCATATACATACAGAACATGTTTCCAAAAGTGGGAGTGTTGGGGGAGACTAAATGAGGATGAAAAGAAGCAAAGATTGATAGATAGTGGATAATATTAAAGTGCAATCACATCTGTGTAGAAAAAGACACAATGAAATGCATGAAAACTGTGGAGCAATACAGAGTAGTGGAAATGATGAAGAAAATAATAGAGGGGCTTAGACTGTTAAAAGTACAATAAATTTATAGAGAAGATTCCAAGTCAAAACCCCAGTGAACAATGAACAAACACTTAAACAATGAAGGACAGGAATTTAAAGCAGGATATCTTAAGGGGAGGGTAATAGTAGCAGGAACAGGTTAAATGAAGAGGTTAAAGTGGTTAATATGATTGAGATGCTTTATATACATGTATGAATATGGAACATTGAAACTTGTCAAAGTTATTTTATGAATGGGAGAAGGAAATGAAGGATAATGATGTAGAGATTGAGGCAAACCAGTGTACAATATGTGTATATGGATATGTCACAATTTAATCCCCCCCTTTAACTATCATATACTAATAAAAACATTTTAAAAAGTAAAGGAGGGTTTTGAAAGAACACAGCAGACAGTCTCTTATTTCCAGTCATTTATAAATGAATGAGGTTTTCATTTTTACAGATCAAACAGAGGTCTAGGAAAGACACATCAGGTGGCATGAATTTGAAAACATAATACACAACAAATTACCTAAGAATATTTCCAAAAATTTCTATTTAATATTTTCAAATTATATTTCACTACAGAGCTAAAATCATGATAAGAGAAACTACCACCAATGGGTCTACTGTATTTAACTAAATAATTTTAAAAATTGTGTGAAATGAATTTGTAAATTTACTTGAGTATACTAATAATGTCATTGTGTGCCTCTTAAATATAAAAATGAAACTAAATTGAAGAACTGCTTCATTAAATTTGTTTTCAATGTTATATTATCTTTCAAAATCCACAGGAAAAAATGTACTCCTGACACACCATAACAGTATTAAATCTCAAAAACAGAATGTTAAGCAAACAATACACAAGGGTCATATGTTAAGATTCAACTCTTACTTGACGGAAAGTACTGGTGTTTAAAATCTTTGCCTTGCACTTGCAAGACAAGCACTTTATCACTTGATCTGCATTCTAGCTATTTTTGTTTAATTTGTCTTTAGCTATGTCTTGTGTTTCTCTGTTCCCCTATATCTGATTCCCAAATAGCTTGAATTGTAGGAAGATTTCCATCTTGCTTGTCTCAGACCTGTTCTGAAGAGGTGGTGCTGAATACAATGGATCCCAAGGCCATCAAGAACAGATGTCTTCCTGAGCAATCACTTGATTTTCGTAGGAACCACTGACTCTCAATGATACTTTAAATATGACTTTCCTTTTCCTTCTTTACATCTTTACACCCAACACTTTCAAATGATGACCTAGTCTTTCTAAGATCACAGAAATTGAATTAAATTTATTCAAACATTTCATTTTGTTGAATTCATGTGAGATGAATAAACAGTGAAGTCTTAAAAACACAAGCTAGAAGGGAAAATTAAAGTCACCTTCAGCAAATATTCAATGATGAGGAATGAAGAAGGAAAAATATAATAAAAATTATGATTTAAAAAACAACAAAATTACTTATATCACATTAGGAGTTCTACCAAAAATGTTGAAATTAATTTAAATTAAAATCAATAAAATTAAATTCTAATGCACATGTACAAATAAATGTATGAAAGCAAAAGCTATACAGATCTAAAATAAAGATCTAGTCATGGAGTATGATAATAAAAAATTATATTGAGTATTTACTGTTTGCCAGAAATGTACTAAGTGTCTTTTCAACAGCTGTAACACACTCATCAGGGACACTCATAAGATTATTATTAGACCATCCACACTATCATTGTCCATGGTCTTGTAGAAACCCACATCCAAATAGCTAAGAAACATTACATGAATTTTCAAGAATCCCAATGCCAGTACAGAAAAAAGTCAGTTCCCAATCCCGAGTAGAAACATTCTCAGTTATTATGATATTTATTCCTTGTACCAAAAGAAATTGGTGGTGGAAGATATCACCATTTGGCTCACTTCTAACGTGAGGCATTCTAAAAGGCCAAGTCCAAAGACATGACACAGTCAAAGAGAACATCTTCTGATTAGTTTCTTCAAGGCGTCTTTCATGTCCCTGTTCCTCAAGCTGTAGATAAATGGGTTCATCATTGGGGGAACTACAGTATACATTAATGAAGCCACTGCAGTAATCCTGGATGATTCAGCAACTGCAGAACTAATGTATACACCAAAAACTGTCCCATAGAACAAGGAAACAACAAAGAGATGAGATCCACAGGTGGAAAAAACTTTATACTTTCCCCCTGCTGATGGCATTCTCAGAATACAGGAGACAATTTTAATGTAAGAGAAAATAATTCCAAGGAGAGGAACACCACCCAATAAGCTAGTCACTGTATATACCAGGATATTATTGATGAGGGTATCAGAACAGGCAAGCTTGATGACCTGATCAAGTTCACAGAAGAAGTGGGGGATTTCAAAATCTGTGCAGAAGGACAGCTGTAACATCATCAGACTATGCAGCAAGGCATCCCCAATGCTAATGAACAAGGAGAACAGAATTAATAAAATACACAGACAGGGTTTCATGATGACTGTATAACTAAGGGGAAAGCAGATAGCCACATAACGATCATAAGCCATTGCTGCAAGGAGAAAATTTTCCAATCCAGCAAATATGAGGACAAAGCAGACCTGGGTGAGACAGCCCGTATAAGTGATGGTTTTGCTCTGCCTCTTCATGTTCACCAGCATCTTGGGGACTGTACTGGTGCTGAAACAGATGTCAGTGGATGAGAGATTGGAGAGAAAGAAGTACATGGGGGTATGAAGGTGAGAGTCAGAGGTGATAGCCAGGATGATGAGCAGATTCCCAAGCACTGTGACCAGATACATGGACAGGAACAATCCAAAGAGAATGGACTGCAAGTCTGGATCCTCTGAGAGTCCCAAGAGGAGAAATTCCATGATACCTGTTTGGTTTCCTGAGAACATGTTGTTTAGGAGGCTGATGATAAAATACAGGTGATGGATAGAAAACAAATGAATAGGACTCATTATTTAATAAAACTCTCACATCTGCTTTGAAATGTGAATATTATTAATCTTTCCCACTGCTTTTGCCTCTCTCTCTCTCTCTCTCTCTTCTCTCTCCCTGTCTCTTTCTCACTTTCTCTCTCTCCCTCTTTCTCTCTCTGTCTTTTCTTTAGATATTTTATTTCAGTACTCTTTACTATACTGCTTTCTTGTCCAAATTTTATTCCCTAACTTACTTCTCTTTTCTTGCATTTTTGAAATGGATAAGAATAAAGTACATATGCTATATAGAATTTTCCCTGGTAATTCTCCAAATCTGAAACCAGTATACAAACAAAAAATTTACTGTATTGTCTAAATCAAACCAGCATAAATTGGCTTTTAAATGGAGACAGACATGAATTTAAATCTATTGTTTTTGCTTAGGTCAAATAAGAAAAAATTCTACTGTGTAAGTATTTCCCCTTATTCATAAAATGAGAAACCCTTATTGAACCTTATAGGACTCTTGTACACATAAGCAATGAACAGACAAAATATTTATTTCTATTTTTGTTCTATTACGCCATGAAAACAGCCAGAATATCTGGTACAGTTCAACACAGAAGGTAAGTGATGGGTGGGACAAAATTTAGGAAAATGAAAGATAGATGGCCAATCTTTAGTGTGACCAATGAAAATTTTAGGGAAAATGATTTATTAAAACTCTCTGAGAATTTTACATATGTAGAGAAGTATAAAAGTTCAAAAAGTAAATGAACAAAGTTGGTATGAATGTCTCTTATTATCATGTAAGTATATGTCTACTAGTGAAATGAATCACACCTACATGCAGCAATACAAATAATAAAACCCTAAGATGGATAAGTAATTTGCTTAAAAGGTATCTATGTTATAATGGAATTAAGTTTTAAAATATCATATATACTAAAATTTATTTTCCTACCAATTATATCAATTGTTCAAAAATGGCAAAAATGAGAAAGATTAAAGTACATACCAGTAAAAATTAAATTAAATTATGCTGCTATATTTGCATTAGTTACTGTTAAAATAAAACAATGCATATCTACTTTTCCACATTCTTCATCTATGAAGGTCATGCATTTTTCCATTCCCAAGAGAACCATTCGAAAGAAGTTAGTATTTGTCGTTCTCTTCGGGCTTCAGTACATTGAGTGCATCAGCAAACCATGCTATTGTTTTGCATTTCAAAAATTCATGTACTGTTCATGTTATTTTCTTATTTTTGAATAATATGTTTAATTACTCCTCTGTTTTAGTACATTGTATCTGTGTTTCATTAACTTCAACCATCTTATCTTATTTCAATATCTTATAACATCACAATTCATTTATTATTTTTCCAACTGATGCACATATTTATTATGGCATATACATATATGCTCAGAGATAAATAAAATATAAAATGTGCATAAAAGACAATAATACATGAAGAATAATTGAATTTAAGACATGTTTCACTTTGTAAAATGGAGAATATAGTGAAATATAAAATATATATTATCTTAATGCCTATGAATTTCTATTAAGAAAAGCAGTCTGGTGGCAATATATCATTTTCTATTTTTGAAAACATGCATACATTTTTTCTTCTGTTCGGAGTTTTAATATTTAAATACTTCATGAATATAGACAGATAGGTAGACTAATATGTAGTCATAAAGTCTTCCTTTTTTCTCTACTTGTTCTCCTTCAGAATATTTATAAACAGAAGTGTCAGCCAAAGATTTCCACTACAACTGGGAATAATGAAATTATTTTATTATAATGAAATTCAGATGTAATAATCAGCTACTCATATATAATTGACCATTGCCAAATAAATAAAAGGTTGGTGGATTCTAGAATATTCTTCAAAGATAAGACAGAATAGACTGCTGTTAGGAAGAAAAAGATCCTTGGACTTTGGGTTCAGAGTAATAAATTAGCATGCAAATAGTGCATAAGAAGAAGCAAAGAGGGGACAAGAGGAGAGGAGGAAAGTTTAGGCAGATAGCTTAAAAGTAACTCATCTTCCACATAGCTTCATGTCACAGCTGTGTAACAGACTGAAAGACGAAGATGTGTCACCTCTGACAAATTAGAAAACTAGTAGATCTCAGATTACCTGGACGCCAACACTAATGAAACACATTCAGTTCCCTGTGTGTGAAGATGAAAGTTCTGTTTTCAGGAACACAGAGAGGAAAACACCTGCCTCCTGTGGAGAATTGATAGTCCCTGAAACTAAGGTGGTGTGTGTTGCCTATTGATATGGTCAAGGGTATTGAATGGTGATCACAGGCAGTCTGTTTGCAGTCTTGATGGCCCTTGGGTTCTTAATATCCACAGCTCCTCATTAGCAAAACTCTTTGGGTCTCATGTGATTACAGGGCCACACAAATCCCCAAGGTGCCAGAATGAGCGATCAAGAACTTGTATTTGCCTAATTGTCTGCAGTAGAGAGGCAAAAAAGAAACCTTCTTTCTTCCCCATTTTTGTTTAACATTCATTTAAAGTATATTTGACACTTTTATTCAATTCCATACTGCCTTACTGATATCCTAAAAAAAAAGAAAGACTGGTACCATATTTACATTTGTACATATAATTTTTTAAGTATGTAGATATAGAGATTACTATTTTAAATGCATGGAATAATGAATACATAATAAAAATCAGAAAAAACAAGTAATGATACTGTGCATGGCTCCTGTGACAGACTCTGCTAATTCATATTATATTCAATAATTCTAATATATTATGGGAAATCAATTTTAAAATATCAGTTTTTTATTAGGTAGCATTAATGTGGGCTATTTGACATAAAGTAAGTTGCATTATGTCAACCATAAAATTCAACATCCTTTTATGACAAAATTCATGAACAAATTTGGTATAAAAGGATCATATTCTGACATAATAAAAGCTATATATGGCAGACCCATAGTCAGTATCACACAGATGATAAAATATGAAAACATTTCCTCTAAGGTCAAGAACAAAACAAAATATCCACACTAACAATTCTTATTATATTTGATACTAGAAGTTTTAGCCAGGATGATTACGCAATAGAAAAAAAAGTGTACAATTAAGAAACAAGGAAGACAAATTGTGGCATTGCATGTGATATGATCCTATGTATAGAAAATCATAAAGACTCCACCAAAAGACTATTGGAACTGGTAAATGAATTCAGAAATGTAGCAATATACAAAATGAACATAAAAAATCAATAGCTTTTGTACACACCAAAAATGAATTTTCTGAAACAGAAATCATGATAACAATCCTATTAAAAATAGCCCTCTTAAAAATATCCAAGATGTTGGCCAAAAAATAGACATTAAGGCCAATGGGACAGAGTGGAAGACTCAGATATGAATCCATGCATCTGCATCCATCTGATTTGTAGTGTGGCACTGTAATCACTTGAAACTCAGAGAGTTTTGCTTAAGAGCATCTGTGGATATTAATGACCCAAAGGCCACCAAGGCTGCAAACAGACTGCCTATGATCACCATTCAAAACCCTTGTCCATATTAGTAGGCAACACACACCACCTTAGTTTCAGGGACTGTCAATTCTCCTCAAGAAGTAGTATTTTCTTCTTTCTGTGTTCCTGAGAAAGAACTTTCATCTTCTTCTTCAGGCACAGGGAACTGAATATCTTTCATTAATGCTGGCATCCAGGTGATGTTCTAATGCTCCATCCATTTACTTGAGAATGACAAAATTTCATTCTTCTTTGTAGCTGAATAAAATTCCATGTGTATACATACATTTTCTTAATCCATTCATCAGTAGTGGACCATCTTGGCTGTTTCCCTAAGTTGGTTATTGTGAATAGTGCTGCAATAAACACAGGTGTGTATTCTGGTATATCCCTAGGAGTGTAGTGTTGGATCATATCAGAGCTAAGTTTAGGTATTGAAACTAGTGCAGGAAAGAGTAAGGAATACATTGGAACATATAGGCAGAGGCAATAAATTTATAACTAGTACTCCAATGGCTCAGCACTAAGCAGAAAGGATTGACAAATGGGATTATATGAAATTAAAAAGCATCTCACAGCAATCAAAATGGTTAACAATTTAAAGAGGTATTCCAGGGAATGGGAGAAAATCTTTGACATACCTCAGAAGGGATTAATAACAAAATTAAAAAGGATATGTTTAAACTTGAATTAATTCAAAGAGAATATAAATAAGCATCTAAAAACAACAAAATGACAGGAAATACTACACACCTTTCAATAACACAATTGAATGTTAATGATCTCAATTCTCCAATGAAAAGACATAGACTGATGAGTTAATTTTTTTTCAAAGCTTTGAACATTTCTTGCCTACCCAAAATGAATTTCACTGTCAAATACTGGCTTAGAATGAAAGGATAGAAAAGTATTTTCCAAGAAAATAGACCAAAAAAACCAGTCAAGAGAATTTGTGCCCATATCTGACACAATAGATTTCACCTCAAAATTAGTCAGAAGAGAAAAACAATGTCACTTCATATTAACAGTTGGAACAATCCATCAAGAGGGGATAAAAATTGTAAACATATACAACAGCAAACATTGGCACACTCAATTTCATAAAAAAAAAAAATACTAGGCAAGAAGCCCAGAGAGTAAAGGATAAGGATATTTACTGAATATTTCAAATGACATCTGCTAAATAGGCCGAAAGGATTGACAAATGTGATTATATGAAATTAATAGGCATCTGCACAGCAATCAAAATGGTTAACAATTTAAAGAGGTATTCCAGGGAATACCGCTCCAAAACAGGTCATATTTTAGGTCATAGATAAAGATTTAAAAATGAAAGAACATTGAAATAGTGACCTCTAGTTCTATCAGGGTACAACGGAAAAATCTAGAAGTCAACAACAGAAGTGGAAACATTATGTTCCCATGTATGAAAATAGAAAAATGATATCTGTTGAATTTATTTCAGAAATGGGAGAAGGGGGGAGGGAGGAAGGAGTTAAGAAGAATGATGGAGGGAGTGAATTCAACTATGAGATAGTATAAGAAATTTTTCAAATGTCACATTTTACCCCCAGTGCAACAATAATAGGATAATAAAAAATAAAAATAAACTACACAAAATGTTCAATCAAATGGAGAGTGAACAATACACTGTTTGATGAATACACTGTCATTGAATAAATAAAGGAGGTATCAAAAAAATCCTGGAACACAGAATAATTGGGATTTAGCAAAAACAGTACTAACACAAAATTCTACAGCAATGAAAGCCTATATTAAAATAAAAACAAAGATACCAAATGAATTACTTAACAATGCACCTCATGCTTAAAAAACAAGAACAAACCAAAACACAAATTATTAGGTGGAAATGAATGATAAAGATTGTCGCAGAATTTAATAAAGTACAGACTTAAAAAACAAAACAAAATGTAAAAGAAATAAATGGTTGTTTTGACACAACATTTAAGAGATGAAAAATGTTAAAACAAATACCAATGAAATTCATTAAAAAAGTGGATAAAATTCTAGAAGCTTATGATCTTACAAAATTGAACCCAGAAGCTTAGGCAGTTCACATATATCTATAACAAGTAGTGTGGTTAAAACAGTAATAAAATGTCTACAAGGAAGATCTAAGGACTGGATGATCAACCAGACTTTTCAGGAAGAATTAGCACAAATTCTACTCAAAATATATTATAAAATAAAAAAAGAACACTACCAAACTCATTTTACAAAGCAAGTATTACCACGATACCAGAACCTAGTGAGAACACAAAAATTAATGACTAATTTCCTTTATGAACATAGACAGCAAAATTTTTAATAATGTAAATGCAAAAAAAATTCACAAACAGATTAAAAATATATATTCCATGAATAATTTAGATTAATTGCAGATATACATGGAGGTTCACCATACACCAATCATTACATAACTGTATGAAAAATTATAATAACCAGAAAATCTAAAAGAAATCTAGGCAAATTTCCAGGTGCTATGACCTATCTTGACTGAACCAAAAGAACATAATAAACCATGAAACAGATAACAAGCAATATGGTTGGAGTGGTAATAAATAATCTCACAACAAACAATTCTACCAGATGGATTAACTGGCAAATTCTTCCACACTTCTAAGGAAGAACTAACATGAGTGACAACTAATAATGAGTATTCAACATTGTGTTGTTCAGGCTCCATATATTTGAGTAATTTCTGTAGTTTTTTTCTGTTGAGTCCTTATTCTATTCTCTAATTGTCTGATAAAATGCAAGAGGTTACTTCAATTGTTTTGTATTTATTAAGACTTGCTTTGTGCTTTTGTTTTCTGGTTGACCTATCTTTTGTGAGAGTGGCAATCCCTAACCTACCTAATATAATGACAACAAAGTATTTTTGATAAGGGTATATTTTCAGAATAAGATAATAGAAATAATCTAATTTTGAATGGAAAGTTATTAGAATGGGATGATAAGCCAAAGAAGACATAGTTGAAACTGAATATTAACTTAACAGCTGTCATTATTTTTATAGAGGAAAGTGGCCATCTCTTTTCCCCAGCACAGTTTTTTTTGTCTCAACTGCTTAAGCAAGCAGGGCCTGGCTAGTTTGAAGATTTAGCTCAGTGGCAGAGTTGCCACTCATTACCTGTACATATCTGAACCACAGACCAAGTACAAGAATGTGGTCTTAAAATTCTGCTTACATGTTGCCATGTGGAGTCCCAGGGATTGGACTCCTAATCTCATACTCTGGTTTCACACCACACTTGATTTTTGACATTTTTCATGTCTCTCTGACCCCCAAAAACACTCAAAATATTTTCTCCATTTGTGTGGTTCCCAAGTCAGAACAACTGTGCTGAGCATTTCTGTAATCATGCCACTTAAGTCCATGCCAAGATTTTCAAGCTACATCTGTGGCTAGTGCAAGGTCAGTATCATTAGAACTCTATCTTTTAACTAATGGGGGAAGAGAGGTTCTGTGATCCAGTTAGTTCAGCCAACTGGCCAGTCTGAACCAGGAATCCCCAGCAATACAGTTTCATTAACAAAGCTCTCCGCCTAACCACCTTCGCACTCCGTGTTCGTTCTGCGCTGACTGATATCCACCAGCCTGTTTGTGAGATTCTGGTGTAAACAAATCCACAGTGATGTCAGTTCAGATTTCCATAGCTCTTCTGGAGGTTGATGTGAAAGTGGCTGCTCAGTATGTTGTAACTGGGAAAAGATGCTAGAGGATGTTACACAGTTGCTATCTTGCTTCTCCCTTCTTCTTGATTTCTTTATATGTTCAGATATTAATACTGTCTCTGATAAATGGACAGTAAAGATTTCTCCCATTATGTGGGTTGTCTCCATTTTGGTTGTTTTCTTTTATTAAATGCTTTGCTTCTTTATTGTTGTGCTCAGGACACATTGTGGCATCTTTTAATTCTTACAGTATATAAAATATATTATAGTTGAATTCAGTTATCTTCTTTTTTTTTATAAAAAGAATTACCAAACTGAGTTTATTACAGGAGCGCAAAACTGGTTTAGCATTACATAATCAACTTAACATATTAACAGAATGAATGTTTCATGACCATCCAAATAGATGGTTAATAAAAAACATTAATAGAATTTAGCATTCATTCATGCTTTTTAAAAGAGCAAATTAGAGCCAGGTGAAGTAGTGCTCATCTGTAATCCCAGCACTCAGGAGGCTGAGGCAAAAGGATGGAGAGTTGGAGGCTAGCTTGGCTACATAGTGAGAACCTGTCTCAGACAAACAAAAATTAGGATTGGGAGGTTAAGACACTGAAAAGAAAGAAAAAAGTGAAATTAGTAATTGGAGGAAACTTGTTATCTGATAAAGGATTTAATTTTTAAAACCTATGAAAAAATATAATGGTGAATTGTTCAAAATTCTTCCTTTAAAGTTAAAAATACGAAGGATTCTCATTACTATCACTTCTATTTGTCACTATATGAAAGGGCCAGAGTATGATAAGGGAAAAAAAAGAAATAAATATATAAGGATTAGAAGAAAAAAACTCACCATATGCAGAAGAAATGATTGAGTATATAAAAAACAGAATCTATATGCAAGTTACTGAAATTAACATGAATACAAATTTAGTATATTACAAAGACAATATAGAAGTAATCTATTAAACTTGTAATCGAAATGAAATTTTCAGTAATTTCAAACACTGGCCAGGTGCAGTAGCATAAGCCTGTAGCCCAAGCTACTCAAGAAGCTAAGGCAAATGGAATCCTTTTTTTTTTAATTTTTCTTTTATTATTCATATGTGCATACAAGACTTGTTTCATTTCTCCCCCCTGCCCCCGCCCCCTCCCTTACCACCCACTCCACCCCACTCCGCTCCCCCCCAATACCCAGCAGAAACTATTTGCCCTTATCTCTAATTTTGTGTAGAGAGAGTATAAGCAATAATAGGAAGGAACAAGGGGTTTTTGCTGGTTGAGATAAGGATAGCTATACAGGGCATTGACTCACATTGATTTCCTGTGCGTGTGGTTACCTTCTAGGTTAATTCTTTTTGATCTAACCTTTTCTCTAGTACCTGTTCCCTTTTCCTATTGGCCTCAGTTGCTTTAAGGTATCTGCTTTAGTTTCTCTGCGTTAAGGGCAACAAATGCTAGCTAGTTTTTTAGGTGTCTTACCTATCCTCACCCCCCTTGTGTGCTCTCGCTTTTATCATGTGCTCATAGTCCAATCCCCTTGTTGTGTTTGCCCTTGATCTAATGTCCACATATGAGGAGAACATACGATTTTTGGTTTTTTGGCCAGGCTAACCTCACTCAGAATGATGTTCTCCAATTCCATCCATTTACCAGCTGAATGATAACATTTCGTTCTTCTTCATGGCTGCATAAAATTCCATTGTGTATAGATACCATTTTCTTAATCCATTCGTCAGTGGTGGGGCATCTTGGCTGTTTCCATCTTGGCTATTGTGAATAGTGCCAATAAACATGGATGTGCAGGTGCCTCTGGAGTAACAGTCTTTTGGGTATATCCCCAAGAGTGGTATTGCTGGATCAAATGGTAGATCAATGTCTAGCTTTTTAAGTAGCCTCCAATTTTTTTCCAGAGTGGTTGTACTAGTTTACATTCCCACCAACAGTGTAAGAGGGTTCCTTTTTCCCCGCATCCTCGCCAACACCTGTTGTTGGTGGTGTTGCTGATGATGGCTATTCTAAGAGGGTGAGGTGGAATCTTAGTGTGGTTTTTAATTTGCATTTCCTTTATTGCTAGAGATGGTGAGCATTTTTTCATGTGTTTTCTGGCCATTTGAATTTCTTCTTTTGAGAAAGTTCTGTTTAGTTCACATGCCCATTTCTTTATGGTTCATTAGTTTTGGGAGAATTTAGTTTTTTAAGTTCCCTATATATTCTGGTTATCAGTCCTTGTCTGATGTATATTGGCAATATTTTCTCCCACTCTGTGGGTTCTCTTCAGTTTAGAGACATTTCTTTTGATGAACAGAAGCTTTTTAGTTTTATGAGGTCCATTTATCTATGCTATCTCTTAGTTGCTGTGCTGCTGGGGTTTCATTGAGAAAGTTCTTACCTATACCTACTAACTCCAGAGTATTTCCTACTCTTTCTTGTATCAACTTAAAGGTTTGGGGTCTGATATTAAGATCCTTGATCCATTTTGAGTTAATCTGGTATAGGGTGATATACATGGATCTAGTTTCAGTTTTTTGCAGACTGCTAACCAGTTTTCCCAGCAGTTTTTGTTGAAGAGGCTGCTATTTCTCCATCGTATATTTTTAGTCCTTTGTCAAAGATAAGTTGCTCATAGTTGTGTGGCTTCATATCTGGTCCTCTATTGTTCCACTGGTCTTCATGTCTGTTTTGTGCCAGTACCATGCTGTTTTTATTGTTATTGCTTTGTATATAGTTTGAAGTCAGGTATTGTGATACCTCCTGCATTGTTCTTTTGACTGAGTATTGCCTTGGCTATTCGTGGCCTCTTGTGTTTCCATATAAATTTAACAGTAGATTTTTCAATCTCTTTAATGAATGTCATTGGAATTTTGATGGGAATTGCATTAAACATGTAGATTACTTTGGGAGTATCGACATTTTTACCATGTTGATTCTACCAATCCATGAGCATGGAGATCTCTCCACTTTCTATAGTCTTCCTCAATCTCTTTCTTCAGAAGTGTATAGTTTTCCTTGTAGAGGTCTTTCACATCTTTTGTTAGGTTTACACCTAGGTATTTTGATTTTTTTGAGGCTATTGTAAATGGAATTGTTTCATACATTCTTTTTCCGTTTGCTCATTGTTAGTGTAAGAAATGCTAATGATTTTTCTATGTTGATTTTATATCCTGCTACCTTCTATAGCTATTGATGATGTCTAGAAGCTTCTGAGTAGAGTTTTTTTGGGTCTTTAAGGTATAGGATCATGTTCTGCAAATAGGGATATTTTGACAGTTTCTTTACCTATTTGTATTCCTTTTATTCCTTCTTCTTGCCTAATTGCTCTGGCTAGGAATTCCCAGTACTATGTTGAAATAGGAGTGGAAGATAGTGGGCAACCTTGTCTGGTTCGGATTTTAGAGGGAATGGTTTTTAATTTTCTCCGTTAAGTATAGTGCTGGCTTGTAGTTTGTCATATATAGCTTTTATAATGTTGATAGAACTTTCTTCTATTCCTGTTTTCTTAGAGCTTTATCATGAAATATGTTGGATCTTATCAAAGGCTTTTCTGCAATCTATTTGAGATGATCAAGTGGTTTTGTCTTTGCTTCTGTTAATGTGGTTTATTACGTTTATTGATTTTCGTATGTTGAACCACCCCCTGCATCCCTGGGATGAAGCCTACCTGGTCGTGGTGAATAATCTTTTGATGTGTTGCTGAATTCGGGTTTGCCATTATTTGTTGTGAGGTATTTTTGCATCAATGTTATTAAAGGAGATTGGCCTATAGTTCTCCTTTTTGGAGGTGTCTTTTGCCTCGTTTTGGCAAGTGTAATATAGTCTGCTAATAACTGGTTCATAAGTTTGGCTTCATTTGTCAGTTTTGCCTTCTTTCTATTTCATGGAACAGTTTAAGGAGGGTTGGTATCAGTTCTTTTAAAGGTCTGATAGAATTCAGCAGAGAATCCATCAGGTCTGGACTTTTCTCTTTTTGGGGAGACTCTTGATTGCTGCTTTCAATTTCATTTTGTGTTATAGGTCTATTCAGGTGATTAAATTTCCTCTTGGTTCAGTTTTGGATGATCAATATGTATCTAGAAATCTGTCCATTTCTTTTAGATTTTCAAATTATTTGAATAATAGGTCTCAAAGTAGTCTCTGATGATTTCTGGACTTCCATGGTGTTTGTTGTTATCTCCCCTTTTGCATTCCTAATTCTACTAATTTGGGTTTTTTCTCTCCTCATTTTAGTCAGGTTTGCCAGGGGTCTATCGATCTTGTTTATTTTTTCAAAGAAACTTTTTGTTTCATTAATTCTTTGTATGCTTTTTTGGTTTCTATTTCGTTGATTTCAGCTCTTATTTTTATTATTTCTCTCCTTCTATTTGTTTTGGGATTGCTTGTTTTGTTTTTCTAGGAGTTTGAGATGTATCATTAGGTCATTGATTTGGGATCTTTCAATTTTTTAAATATATGCACTCATGGCCTATAAACTTTCCTCTCAAGACTGCCTTATGGTCCATAGGTTCCGGTAGGTTTGTTTTCATTTTCATTGACTTCCAGGAACTTTTTAATTTCCTCTTTTATTGCATTGATGATCCATTCTTCATTAAGTAATGAGTTATTTATTTCCAGCTGTTTGCATGTTTTTTGTCTTTACTTTTTGTTTGTTGAGTTCTACTTTTACTGCATTGTGGTCAGATAGTATGCACGGTATTATTTTATTTTCT